GCTGAACTCTTGGAGTCGGCTGGGGGTCTGAGGTGCCCCAGCACCGTTTCCGGCGAGCAGGAAGGGGGGGCGAGGTTCGCGGTGCTCCGTTCGAGAGGATCTTTGGCCTTGTGGACTTGCACTTCTCCCCCCCTTCCTTGGCCGATCTCCCTGAGGTCTGTCCAGCTCAGACCTCCAGCCGCCTACAGTCGGCCCGAATTAGTAGGTCGACCCTGCCAAATCAAGGGTACCCTTGTGTCCTGTGCCTCGCGACCCGTGCCTCTCGCATTTCTACGGCAATGTGGCCCTCGGAAGGGTCTTGTGTCCTGTCGCGTGTGTCGCGTGTCCTGTCCAATGAAGTCCGACTGTACAGGGTGCAACCACACTTTCCAGAGCCCGCAGGGGCATGTCCCCGAGGTCCCAGCGCCGTTTTTTTTTTGTTTTTTTTTTGTTTTTTTTTTTTTTTTTTTTTCCCTACGGGTGCTGTTGCCTCGCCCCTGGCCCTGGGGCCCTCACTGGTCCATCCGGCTCGGAGAGCGCCGCATCAAGAGGGGGGAGCCCGGTCTCTGGTCGAGTGCTTTCTGCGCTGGCGTTTTTTTTGTTGTCCCGTGACGTCGGACCCCAGGACTCTCGGATCGACGCTGGGCCCTTCTGGCGGCGCCTCCAGCGCCGCCCCCTGAGCGCGCTCCGCACATCAGGGAGGGCAAAAGGTCCACGCGTAGCCTCGAGCGTTCATGTCCGTGTTTCGAACAAAAAAACGCCGTGAACATAGGCTTACGGCGCTCCGCGCGGATTTCTTGGATCCGTGCTGCCCTCGCAGCGCGCTCCGCACGCCAGGGAGGGGGGCCAGGCGCCGATGCAAAACGTCCGCGCGCACCCTCGAGCGTTGATGACCGTGTTGCCTTACGTGGGTACGTCCCTTTCCAGGAGGAGTATCCAACACACGTCCAGAAGCAGTAGGGGGATATTTTGTGGACTCTTTCTTCGGTTTTTTTTGGGACTATTCTTTTTCCTCCCCAAATCCGCCTGTAGGAGGACATGTCCGACCTAGAACCACAGGTGGACGACGAACGCTGTGCCAAAACGTGCTCCGAGGCCGAGGGCGCCTCTCTGGGCTGCCCAGCCGCCCCGGGACGGGCGTCCCGACCCAACCATCCGTGGCCTTGACTCTCTCACGGCGGGGGGGCCCCGTAAGTCCGGACCTCTTCCCAGGGGCTCCCCACGCGGGCGCGGAGTTGTTCGCGCTCCGCGCTTCGCGGTCCTCGTGCCTTCTCCCCCCCCCTCCTCGTCCTCCTTGTCTCCCTTTAGGGGGGGGCGGCGCGCGAGAGCGCGAAGTTCTTCGCGCTTCGCGCTTCGCGGAGCGCGGAGCGCGAAGTTGGGAGCCCTGGTTTTTCCCCGGGGCCGGGTTTGCACCCCGAGCCGTTCTCGGACGGGCCCGGGGGTCCCGGCGACGGCCCGGCTCCCCCCCGGTGGCCAGCAACGGGGGGAAGCCCTCCGCCTTTGGGTCCCTCGGGGCGTCGGAGGCCTGGGGGCGGCGGAGTCGTTGATTTTCGTGCCGTTCGTCGCCCGCTCACCCCGCAGGGCCCGCTTCGATCCGATCGGTCCTGTTCGATTCCGACGATTTCTGTGCGACGATCCGGTGTGGCCCGGTGCTTGCGTGGCGCTGTCGTGCATCCTGGCGCAGCGGGTGCGGTTTGACTTCGGCTCCGTGCCAATGTAGCTGGATGCGATGCACATGTGCCGACTCGGCCAGATTTTTTTTTTCCGCCTCGATGCCGAGTGATCCTGCCCCAGGCATCTGGCGCAGCAGCTGGAGTCCGCGCTGTCGGGCGCCGCGCGCGGGGAGGCTCAGAGTCGTCCCACCGATCCCCATCCCCGCCGGGCCATGGCACATCTCGCCCCCCACCAGATCATCGAAGAAGAGAACACGCCATAAACATGAACTTTTGGCTCTCCGCGCGGATTTCTTGTATCTGCTCTGGGGCCCCCCGCGCGCCAGGGAGGTGGGGCCAGCGCAGATCCAAGAGATCCGCGCGGAGCGTCAACAGTTTATGTATATGCCAGTTTTTCTTCCTCTAAAGTGGAGGCCCATGCCAAGAAACACCCTGCTTGCCGCCAGGGTGCCCTGGGTTTCTTGGGTTCCGATGGTTCTGCTGTGGAAAGCGTGACGTCCCCACACTGAAAATCAATGGACGTCCTGGGGATCTCAGGATCGGGTTTCTTGTGGAAGGTTTCTTGTGGTCGGGCCCCCACTGTAGGTCACCCGCCTACGTGGAGGTAGGCCCCGCGGAGCCCGAAAGGAACATCGTGCCACCTCAGGGGGTAGGTCGGCCAGCGTGGCCAAGGCCTTGCGCCGATCCCTGGGAGGAAGGTCGCTAGTTATGACGCCTCGCGAGGCGCGAGGCAGTTTTAGGTCAGGCATGTCCCTCTACAGAAGGTGTACTCAAAAATAGTCAAAACATAATCTGGGGATGACTTTCCACTATTTTGACTATTTTTGAGCTTTGTTGTGTGCTTTGTTCTTCTTCCAAAACCGTCTGTAGGAGGGAGGACATGCCCGACCTAAAGGTAGTTGTATCCTCTAGTCCACACGCCCGCCCTGCAAGACGTGGGTGGTCTTTGGGCGGCGATGCTCCGACGCAGGTCCGGCGCGACTCCGACGTGAGCCCGACGTAACCCGACGTGGATCCGACGGGGACCCGACGTGGACCCGACGTGGATCCGACGTGGACTCGACGTGAGCCCGACGCAGGTCCGACGTGGGTCAGACGTGAAGGGGGTCTCAAGCTGCCTCGCGAGGGCTCCGGGATGCCCCTCATGACAGTCCAGGGGGGATAGTCCTCCTCCTCCTCCTCCGCCTTCTCCTCCTCCTTCTTCATCTCCTCCCTCCTCCTTCATCTCCTCCCTCCTCCCTCCTCCTCCTTCCCCCCCCTCCCTCCGGAGGCCTCGGCCCGGGAGGCCGCGGCGGGCCTGTGGGCCGAGCTCGACGCGCTGGCCGCGGAGCACGGCCGCGCGCAGTGTGCGGTGCGCAGCGCGGACGCCCTGAACGCGGGCCTCCGGGCGCAGCTGCAGGCCCTGCAGTAGGTGCCGCGCTGGGCGCCCGAGCCCTCCAGTCGGCGTCACACCAACATGCTAATACTATGTATGCGTCGCCCCCCCTTCAGGGGCGACGCGCGCGCCGAGAAATCTTATACGGTGGGGGCGTTCGTCAAGGAACGTGCCCAGGAGGCCTCAGACCTTGGAGTCCTCTCTATCTGATGAGGGCGACGGTGATATTCATGGCCTGCCCACGATTGGAGTTCCATCGTCTTCCAGACCCTGGACTCCTCATCCAACGGTTCCTTAACCAATGCCCTCACCGTACAGTACGTGCGTCGCGGCGGACTCTTTCTGGCCACACCGCCCGGGAAGCCGTATGTACTACAAGATGGGTCTAGTAGATGTTCGTGTCGGACGCGCGCCTCCGAGGACATACAGCATTGGTATGTCTCCGTGCGTCCAGGCTCCGAGCTCCAGGCTCCTGGCTTCGAGTGGGGCATCGACCACGGTGTCGAGTTGCCCCAGACCTGATTCTCTTCCGTCGGGTCCATGGAGAAAATTGTGGCCTGCGACGCGCAGACCTGCGAGCCTGCTCTGCGCATGGCGCGTGGCTTCGACCAGCCAATCCGTGTGGGGGTACATCGATCCCGTCGTCGACCCCCTGCTCGAAGGCTCCCGCGCCAGGCTCTCCGGGGGCGCTCTCGGTCGCTTCTCGGCGCCGAGCCGAGACCGGGCACCGAGCCCTTCGCCTTCCGGGCGAGGACGGGCTCGAGGCTGGCCCGAGGTGCTCTCCGGCGGCGCCTCCGGCGCAGCTCTCGGCGGCTCTCCGGCCTCGGGGGGTGCCTCCCAGCAGCTGCGCCTCGGGCTGCTCCCCGCCTCCGGGTTCCAGCTCCGCATGGCCAGCGCCTCGGCCCGTGCGGCTCGCGGGGCGGCCCGCGATGCTCTCCACGCCGACGGCGCCGAGGCACCGCAGAGGCGTCGGGGGGGTGCGTTCCAGCAGCCGCGCCCAGCCGAGAGGCGTCCGGGGGCGCCCAGCTCGTCCCGGACGGCTGCCCGGTGCCCGAGTTATGAGTCGAAAACAAGCAGCCGTCGCCTCCTCGCCTCATCTCGGAAGAGGAAGGTTGAACGATGCTGCTACTCTTGCTTCTCAGTTTCGTCTTTCTGGGCCTCCTGGGTGGCCCTAGTCGCCACAGCTGGCTTTGCCTCGAAATGCTGGTCAGAACGAACTCCAGGGCAGGTCCGGGGAGTAGCAGGATCGGTACCTTCCTGTCCCTCAAGAATGAGGCCGGAGCAGATGGGGTCGGCGGATCGCGCCGCATCGCGGATGCGGCTCGATGTGGGCCCCGATTTTCTCCACGCCGACGTCGCTGATGCATCGCCCATGCATCGGCGATGTGGCGCGTGGCGCGATCCTCCGACCCCATGTGGGCGGCCCCCACAAGCGTCGCCTCGGCCAGAAGGGAGACTGGAGGAGCTTGTGCTTGGTGCCTGGGCTTGTGGAAGTCTTGTACGTCTAGACTGGCGAGCTGCTCAGGGATCGGGCTGCCACTGAGATGTGACATTTGCTTAAGCGCGGCGTGCCAATCAGAAACAGAAACATGGACGGTGATGCGGTGATGCGCAGGTTTTTTGGGAGGTCGGCCTCTTACTGAAAGATCCCTTTCCTGCCCCCACTCCCCAAGACGGTGTCCCCCACTGGTCGAGTTCATGTCCCTGTCGCCGCCGCCCCACCCTCAAAGCCAAGATGTTGAGTCCCGAGAAATGGCTTATGGATGGGAGGAATTTTGAGGCGTCCGATGACCCCAAAGGGGTTGGCGGACTCGCGACCCACCTCAGAGTGGCCATCACGAACAGGGGCCAATCAGCTACACCTGCCCCGATCATCAAGACACCTTCCTACTTTGCCTTGGCCCAGCGTTTCGTCGGCAGCTTTCCTCTCCCTCCACGTTCCTTCCTCTTTCTGTTCCCCTTTCCACTCGAAC